GACTCTGTGGGTGGGCGTAGCAGGCCGTGTCTGCATGTGTGTGCCCGCATGCGCACTCACATCTGTACATATGTGTGTGTCTGTCTCTGCAACTGGGTCCACACATGTGTGCGCCAGTTGGTGTCTGTGTCCACGCATGTGCTCATGCAAGTATGTATGTATGCGTGCACATGTATGGGGGTGAGTCTCTGTTTGGGCGTGTAGAAGTACATATTTGCATATGTCTGTGCACATGGGTATGCAAGTCTCTTTCTAGGTGCATGTGTGTATGTGTGCCTGTGACTGTGCACTTATGTGCATATCTGTGTGTCTGTGTTTGCAGGCATGTGTGCACATCGCTATGTCTAGGTTTGTGTGTGCATGTGCGTGCGTGTTCCTATCCCTGTGGGTCTAAATGCATCTATGTGTGCATGTGTGTGTACATGTCTCTGTGTGACTCTGTGCATCTCACGGTGTGCATGTGTGACTCTGTGTGTCACTCTGTGAGTGCAGTGTCTGTGTTAACACAGACATGTGTGTGTGTCCATGTCCCTGTGTGTCTATGTGTGTGTGTGTGTGTGTCTGTGTTTGGTTGTATGTGTGTGGTGGTATACAGAAATGCACGTGTGTGTGTGTGTGTGTATTTCATGTGTGTGCTGCTGCATGTGTGTGTCTGTATCTGTGTGTCTATGATTGTGTGTGTGTGGTAGCATGCACATGTGCTTATGTGTGTACATGTATACCTGTGTATGTGTGTAGGTGCACACGTGTGTGTGTAGGAACTCATGTGTGTGTTAGTGCACATCTCTTGAGTGTCTCACTGGTGTGTGCGGACAGGTGTACAGCGGTCATGTCTTCCAATACATCACAGGATGCAAATACATTGATTCAAATATATAAAGACACAAACGTGTACTAAGATGTGTGATCCGGTTAAACACAGAAGCGTGTTGAAATATGCAACCATATTAGTTACACAAGCACATCAAATTATGCAAGTACATGAAGATATGCAAATATTAAAACCCGAGTGAATAAAATATGCAAATTACTGAATTATGTGCATATGTTAAAATACGCACACATGCTAAATGTGTCAGCGTCTTAAGATGCGCAAATATATTAAATCTGTGACCATGTTAAAGTGTCCAAACACGGAGTTGAGGGCATCACAACACGCAAACGCTGCACGG